GGGGCCGGTGTGATGCAATGGCTGAGCTGATTGGCTGTTGGAGTGAGGAATTGCGTGCATGCCTGGCTGCATGGAAGCATGGGATTGATCAGCGCTCACGGGACGGGGCATCTGCGGAGGGAGGAGAGAGGAGCGATGAGTCTATCTGCATAAAGTGGAGCACTCCGACTGAGAGAGCTCGAGTGGCAGCCATAGACAGACAGAAAGCAAGACAGGTGCCATGCAGATGATTCCAGAGCACATACACCTTCATAAAACGAAGATGATTTGCAAAACAATATATTTGACAAATTCATCTACGCAAAACCGAAGTATACTTTGGTCTTAATACTAAGAGGAAAATAGTTCATTTGCATACTTTTGGGCGATTTAGATGTTTTGAGTTTGAAATCAACACATAAAAACAGAGACCTGCAGATTGATTAGTAAGAAGATCATTGCTCACAGCAGGTGTAAAATATGAGACTTTTATTTTGAAACACCTCATGTTAGTATTAAAAGTAATAATGTTATTGGCAGTACTGAACTGGTAAGCCAGCAGGCAAAGTCTGACTGTAATTTTCTCTCAAGTTATTTCTGGAGGTGCATACGTGCTTTGATAGCTGTAGCGGTGAGGCTTTAAAAGGGATGAATTAGGGACCAAACCTCTTAGACAAAGTTTGCCATGCTAAATTTTTCTTTCACAAGCTACAGATTCATCCCTTATTAAGATATTTTAATGCAACCTGAAAGTCAACTGAAAGTCCAGGTAACCAAAACTTAAAAGATTCAAAAAGGTTATAAAGGCATTATAAAATAAATCCATTATGAATTGAGTGGTTTAAACCAAGTCCTGTAAACAGGTGTGATCCCTTTATATAAACAGATTTCATTTTTATTTTATATACATTTTTAAACAATGATCGACATACATACATAACGCACATTACATTTGGTAAACATGGAAGCCCAAACGTGCATGTGATGCTCAAGAACCAATGAGATTTCTTCTAACGCCTGACACACATGTATGTGTGTCGATATCATAAAAAAATGAAAAGTAAATGATGACAATTATGATGACAATGAACTAACCCTTTAAGGCATTAGCCACTTCCTTTTTTTTTTTAAATGCATAATTTTACTCTAGTATCATTGGACCTCAAATTTTTAAGGAGATTGTGGGGGGTCTCTATCTTGGAGTAATTGGTTCCCAATTTTAATACAAAAAAGTAAAACATGTCTCAAACATCAGCTCTTGTTGCTTGGAAACCTACGGGTATGAAGTGATTTACCGAGTCGGGCATGCTGTGGGCGAGAGGCTTGTCGGGGGCCATGAGGCTGTTGGGCACGTCTGGAGGATGTGAGAGCTGGGGTCCGTGCATGAAGTCATTCATGGGAGCTCCGCCACCAGAGTTACTGTGAGAGAAGTCAAAGTTTCCATGGCCCTGGTAACTATTGCCTGATGCACAAAACAGAGAAACGGTAATGAGGAGCGATGACCTCAGAATCGCAGAGACAAAGAGCTAGAGAGGTTTAGACAGCTTGGACGGCAAACCAGCCTGTTAAGAGCTCACAGGCGCAAGTTCTTCTGACTGTTACGATTGAAGGGAAAAAATTAAGCGTACCTAAACAATGAAGCTTGTAAAACGCTAAGGACTGTTTTATGAGACAGACAGAAAGGAAAGAACAGAATCTGATCAGGTGCTGACCTCTACCTTGGCCCCCATATTCGCCATTGTTTCCTCCGAGCTGAGGGGGGAGGGGGATGTAGGGTGAAGGGCCGGGACCCAGCTGGGCGATCATATCCATCACATTAGGCATGATCATTTGACTGGGACTCATGGTTTTAAAACGCTTGACCAGAGGGCCATCTGGGTCCTCCTTTATATGAATGTCTGACTTTATGGCCACCGGCCTCCAACTACACGTAGGGTCGATGGTGACCTCTTCAAACTCCGAACTGCAAGAATGGAACAACATTCATGACTGCGAATAATGGGATGTTTATAATTTAACAATCATATCTTGGGTGCATTTTTACAGGGCACTTACTGAACTGTGTGATCCAACGTTTGAGTGATAAACTTACTTTTGAATCGCATTGAGAATTCCCCACATGTACTGATCCACCTCCAGCCCTTCCAATAATGCTGTTTTACTGGGGACAGACAGAAATATATAAAACACACAGCCAAAAGGAACAGCGCATCACATTTATTTGCCTGCCCAAAACAATTCTTGTGTGGTTTGCCACGTACTTGCATACAGGACATCTCCACGTTCCTCTCTCACAGTTCAGCTGCAGATAGGACTCTAAGTCAAAGCACTGCAACAGAAAATCTAATGTAAATTCAATCAATATATATATATATAGAATTGCAGTAACAGTGGCATAGGATTGTGGGATTTTCGCACAATTTGTTTTGATTCACGCATTTGCCACAAGTTTTGCATTGATGATGTGGGAAATCCCCAAACACATTTATTTACATAATGCAAATGAGTGAGAATCTAAAATTATCATTATGATAATCAGTATTTTTATCGTTTTGTAGTAATAAGTCTAAACATCCTTAAAATGAGGAAAATAACAAGATGATATACATTTTTCCTAATAAGTTTTTCTAGTTTTTCCTAAAAAATGTTTTACACATTTGTCATACAGGTTTTGCTTGTTACAATCATAAACATCAACATTTATTTCAATGACTCTACTTAATTCTCAGGGGGTTATTCAATGAAACATTTTAGGTGTAAGGGGTTTGGCTGACAAACAACAACAACAAAAAAACTTATATCATCTTAATTCTGGAAATGTATCTTTAGATTTTTATCTTTAGATTTCTAGATTTTCTTGGGAAAACAAGAACATGATTAAGAACACTTCAACGATGCATACCTGCACGTGTTTGCAGTCATGTCCCCTAGCAGGGAGCTGGATCCGTCGGAATGTGATTGGACACTTGAGGGACACTTTGATGGCTGTCTGCTCTACTCCATCCTCTCCATTTAGTGTGGCATTCCCAGAGGATGCTGCTACGCTACTGAAGTTTCTTTTAACTGCAGGAAAACAGACAAGAGACATTGCAAAGATTAGGGGTTGATGAAGATGATAATACAGAGTGACAGACATCCACAGATTCCAAAGAATGCAGCATCTACTTACTTTTGGTAATGCAGTGAGTGAGAATCTAAAATTATCATTATGATAATCAGTATTTTTATCGTTTTGTAGTAATAAGTCTAAACATCCTTAAAATGAGGAAAATAACAAGATGATATACATTTTTCCTAATAAGTTTTTCTAGTTTTTCCTAAAAAATGTTTTACACATTTGTCATACAGGTTTTGCTTGTTACAATCATAAACATCAACATTTATTTCAATGACTCTGATAAGGAATTATTATCTTAAATCAGGGTTTCCCAAATTGTTCATGAGGGAACTGTAAGGTTTGTGAGTTGATCATTAATTCAGTCAAGATTCCAAAGAATGCAGCATCTACTTACTTTTGGTAATGCAGTGTTCGGCAGGAAGGAGCCTCTTCTTGAGGAGCCCTTGCAGAACCGATCGCACCGACGGCCTATGGACCAGCTGCAGCACGAACAAGTGCGACTGCAACAAGACCAAACAACAAACCGCTAGCAAGCATCTTCACATCAGAATATCCTTTACATGATACAGTATCTGTACCGTTTAGCTTTCAGACAGGGAAGCATAAAACTGATACCAGCAAATGTAGTGGGAAGGCAGAGATCTGATTTCATATCACGTGCTGTATAACAGCTCCCCGACACGGCCACTAAATGACAGACATACATTATTGAAAGGCAGCGGAGGAATACTCACACAACAGCAGGCTGTGACCGTAATCTGGATGGTGTTTCTCCCTGGCTGACATACATGCTTTAGGTGCAGGGGTTTGTGGGATGTTTTATTGTCGCCCCTCTCAATAGTGAGGGGGGTGGCGTTGACGCTGACTTGGACGGATGCGGGCCAATTGGTGTTCATTTGTCGGTCCTCATGATGATAGCACTTAAACTGCAGCTCCAGATCAGATCTGTTGGACATGACGTGAAGGGTCTAGTGTTAATGGAACGGTCCTCATAACGTTCCAACTCATACTGTAAATAAGATGTTTTGCAGAATGTTCACACTGCTATATTCCATTTAATGAAAGTGAATGGTGACTTTTCATTACAAAAGATCTTACTGACCTCAAACTTTTAAACACAAGTGTATGTTCTGAGGTCATACAATAGCTCTGTGTAAGTAAAAGTCCAAAATGCAATTCTTTATTGAGTGAAAATCCTCACTTCTGTGTAATGTGACTATGTATATATTCAAATCTAGTGGAAAATGTAGCTTCAGAAGACTTGTGACAGACAGTCATGCTTTTGTAGTGCTTTTATGGCAGTCTGTTGTCATTTTTGGAGACTGAGAGCCCTGAATCACCATTCACTTTTATTTGCTCAAAACGAGAAGCATGAACGATCTGCTAAACTTCTCCTTTTGTGTTCCACGTTAGAAAGAAAATCATACAGGTTTGGAAAAACTTGAGAGTGTGTAAATATTAATAATGATAGAAATATCATTAAATATTAAGGATGTCATTGTCAAGAGCATGCGCAGTTTATAGCAGTAGCATGCACACCTCCACATGAGCGTCTGGTGGACGGAGGGGCGCAGATGGAAGACGTGGTTACTGACGGCCAGGTTGTGCTCTAATCTGAAGGGCTCCAGCACCACTCCATCTCTCACTGGGAACGTCAAACGCAGCTCCTCGTTGGGGTTGGCTACAGGAACAAATATTGAGATTAGATGGATTCATAGTCTTCCCATGTAGACCATAGTATCAATGTGTAAGATGCTTTCAAGTTTGGCTTTCACCTCACCTAGTTTCACCCTTTCCCACCGAAGCACATATATTATGAATGAGCTCTGAGTGGATGTGAAAAATGCATGAATCTCAGATAAATGTGCAATGGGACTTTTTTTCTCACTCAGCTGCAGGTGGCGGATCAAAGGGTTCTCAGGGGTTTATTCTGATAGACTGTGACCGAGTTTGTAATACGGACAGAGTGGAGATCAATGCAAGTAACGGTCGTGTGTGGGGTTTCTTTGCGTGACTCACTTAGAGGTGGAGGCAGAGACGTCATGTTTGGCTTCATATCTGGAGGAAACGGGGGCTTGACATCTTGACTGGGCGACATGTACGGCATACTACTTCCTGGGGTCATGGGTGGTGTGGGGTTCCCAGGAACTGGCGAGAGTGGGTAGTTCACCACCTGCCGAGGAGGCTTTAACCAAAGATAGACATGATTACTGAATGGAGTAATTTTAATAAATCTGTACATTTTACCCTGAGTACAAATGGAAGATTACACATAATTGTGTATGAAAATAAAACAATAGTTTCACCACCTACCCCATTTCCTTGATTATACCCATAACCACCTCCAGAGAAATTGTTGTTCTGACCATTAAATGGCTCTTGCTGAAATAGGAAAGAGCACACAGAGTGTAAAGCAAGAAAGCAAGATAGCTGCTATTAATATTTTATTTCTTTTCTTTTACCAACCAAAAGTAAACTTGCCAGTTTAAACTGAATGTGGTCTTTTCCAAAGTGTGAGCCGAATTACACAATTTCCTCAAGAAATTGTGTCTACTAATATTGCAAAGACCAAGCAATATGAATTTACCTTATAGTATTGGCCCATGGCTACCCCAGTAGTGGGGTACTGGCCAGAGCCCTGTTGTCCTGGCATCCTTTGCCCAGGGTAATTGGATGAAGGAAGAGCTCTAGAAGCATTTGGGTTCGGGTACTGCCCTTGCTGGTTGGGAAACTGGCCATTGGGTCCAAACTGCTGGCCTCCATAATTAGGCTGTGAAAAAAACAGTTGGTTCACCAACACAAATGGCCAATACAAAATATCTGCTGAAAGTCTATTTTAGCCATTGGTGGTCTTACCTCTCCTGGATAGGGCCTCTTGGTGCCCTGCATGGGCATGGACTGAGGTCTGGGTCCAGGGTAACCCTGTTGAGGCATCCTTTGGCCGTGGCCACCGAAGGGCATCCCTGGGACTCTGGGCTGGTTCATACCCATTGGCGGGCCACTCATGTTGGAGCTATTCATGCCACCACCCATTCCAGCTGGGTTCATGCCTTCAGCCATGGACGGGGGCCCACGGGGCCCTGGCTGGTTCATGAACTGGTTATTGTAGCCTTGCGTAGGCCCCATCTGGAAAGAGGAGCAGACCTGTGGAGAAGGTCAACGGCAGTTCAGATGAATAAGAGGATTCGTTTAGAAACCCAGGGTAGGGTAAGAAGCCAAAACCAGTGAGGGACCAACCTGGTTGTACTGGTTCATGTCTTTATTGGTCTCTTGCAAGGCTGCCACAGTTGCTGTGGCAGTAGCTGTTGCGGTGGCGGCGGCAGCAGCGACGGCAGCGGCGGCGGCAGCAGCAGCAGGTTGGGTGAAATCAGAGGGCGGTCGTGTATGAGAGGGCATGCCTATGCCACCTGGAGCATTCGGCCCACCTGGGTAACTGAGCAGAAGCAATACACAACACATAAACATCTACATCACAGCTTACACAGTCAAAAAGGTCTATTTATTGGAATAAAACTTGTTGGAAGGCCACATAAATCTTTCCTGGATTTGCACTTGGCACAGCAAGAAGGTGATATCATCCCTTTCAAGAAAAACATCCTTGAACTGAGTATTGGCTGGGCTTTAAAACCATGCATCAAGTATCACTAATGGGAGACTCTTCTATAGCTTATTGAATCTCCCAAAGTGATGCAAAGCAACTTTGTCAAACAACCTCCCATCATCCTGTCTGGAACGGCATCTCTAATGCTTGAAATATTACCTTCCACCAAAGCCTCCTCCTCCCGGGTGCCCTGGACGCCCATACATGCTTTGCTGCATGTAGGCCTGGTTGGATCCCGCTTTGGCTGAAAACTGTTGTTGTTGGCCAGGGAACTGAGGTGAGTTGATCCCTGGGTTGTTGCCTGACATACCCGTCCCTAGTGCATTGCCTCCAGAGTTCATGGGATTGTTAGTATTGGCCATGGGGTTACCCAAGACCTAGATCAAAAGCAACATCTGTTATAAGATCAATGTTATCACTGTTACTGTTTTCATACAGTGACACTATACGTGTGACTCACCTGACTTTGTGATGTATTGGTAACTCCCCATACCGTCGTAACCACCGACAGCGAGCCCGGGGCCTGGTTAGCGCTTTGTTGCCAGGGGACGCTGTCATATGGAAAGGACCCATCACTACAAAACAGTGTTCAAACAGTAATGTGAGATCAGGGGCATCAAACATGTGTTGAGAAAGAGTAAAGTTGACTCCAACACAGCCCGATAAAGAAAAGCTCCCTCTTGACTACAGAACATGAGTTTTTCCATGAAAAAGAAGCTGTAATGTTTGCGAAAGTGGCCAATCACCAGCCCTGGAGCACAAAATGTTCTATAAAACATCACTAAGCTAATGAACTTCCTCAGCATTTTCTCTGGCAATCTATCAGTCTCTATTAACTTCTAGTTGACGTACCTTGATGGTAATGTTACAATATCATGTTTTTATCTGCTGTTGTTTGGAACATTGTGAGAATGAATTTCATCTGCACAGCCTTCAGTGATGTCATGTTTACAGGGCTGTTAACGAAAGCTTGGTCAATGGCTTCTTGGAAAAGCCTCGTCTTCAAGAGACATGCCACATAAAAACAAACAATTCTGTGCTGGATGAGTGCACTAGGAGGAAATTCTGAGAAAGGGGCGAGACTACTGTAAGTTTAACATTGCTTGGAACGGCTCCAGCAAGCGTCGGGTTAGAGCAGAGTTTTGTCTGGGTACTGACCCATGTGAGAGTGAGGGCTTCATGGAGTTCATGGGTGGCTGCAAGGGTACTTTGCCCGGTGGATCACTCTGACGATTCTTCTGATGCCGCAACAAGAGCAGCCGTCCCAGCTCCTCGCACCAGGACGACAGGAGAGCTGGAGAGAAAGAGACAGACAAAGAGGAAAAGAGATCAGGAAGGATCTTTGGCACAGAGACAAATCACCTGTTGGCTATCTTGCTTATTTTATCTTCAGATTGCTATTTAGAAGCAGCAAAACTCACTGCCAAGTATTAGCACATCTTTCCTTAACACGTTGACAATTTCAGGTGTCATTTATGTTTGAATGTCAGTATTTTTTACAGTTCAAATCTAACCTTAAGTGTAAGCAGTGATGATAGTGATGCCAGTGTTGCAATAGTGTTGTAATAGTGTTGCAAAATCTTAATCAGTTCATGTCTTTACCACTAGAGGTCACTACAATAACAAGCATGCTTGGGATCCTCTATAATAGCTTGTCAGTATGCTTCTCATAGGATCATATGCTTTTCATCTGCAGTGTACTTTAAGCAGTGATACTACCACAGAAGACCTGTCTTCTCCTCTCGTGAAGGGAGGATGACGGAGGACGGGGAGAGAAAGAGCGAGAAATGGGAGATGAGAATCAGTGCTGAGGACAGTGAATCATGCCAGTGATGTGTCCTGGCAGCACTTTACTCCTGAGAGGGGTGACAAAACGAGCCTCTCGCCATGGTGATGGAGTCGGTTCGGGATGGCAGCAGCTGGCATGTGGCCAGATCCTGGTCTAATCGATTCTACACGCCGCACACGGCTGAAACGCGAGTGCTGCATTTAAGTGCTCTTCATACAAACGGTCCTTATACTATCCAAGTGACACTATTTAGATAAATACTCACTACTAGCTGAGTCATTCTATGACAAGAGTACCATTTGTGTCCACAACATCTGATAAAGTGCACTAAACACAAACAACTGCTATGAAGTGTTTTAACTTCAAAATTGGGTTCAAATTTGTAGCACTGAAACATATATACATATATAAATCCAGGTTATTTAACTAATCACATTACTTATTTACTTTAAAATAATCATCATAATCAAATAATCATTCTCAAGTTAGTTCTACTCATTATTTCCAGAATGAATCTTTTTACATGCTTGACAAGATTAACATTTGACAAATACCCCATATTCAACTAATTACATAAACTAGAAAAAAGTAAACAAAATTTAGAAAAAAAATTCTGATAATATTAACACTTTTTAAAAATGTTCCACCTCATCACATTTCCAATGTCACATGTTCGGAACCCCACAAAATAATAATTTAACTTGAGGTGGCACAATGCAATTTATTAGCACTTAAAGACATTCTTTGTCTGGCAGAATATTTAAAGTCATACAGCAATGTACTTTAAAAATCGCCTTTCCAACATGAAAAAGGTGCCTGTTTCATAGAATGACTCAGAGCTGCCCACAGAGAACAAGGAAGAAAAAATATTCTCCCAAAAACTGTATCACACGCTGACAGAACAAGAACAAAAGCCAGGAACTGTTTCAGTAGTGCTGCACCTCTAGTCTTCCTTTGCCATCAAACAGATTGTGCAAGGGACCTTATAAAATATTCTCTTTCCCCTAAGACGAGTTCATACATGGAACAATACCCCTCTTTCTTCTCTAAATCTACTTCACAGACAGTAGATGAGTAAAAAAAAAACCTGCTACGGCTATTTGAACAGAGAGGGTGGTGTCAAGAGTCCAGAATGTCTCTCTCAGAGTCTGGTGCAGAGAGACAGACGTCTGTCTTGGCTCTTTCCTCTCTAAATCGATCAGCCAGTAATGACTATGAAGACTGCTCAGCTGTCTCCTGCGCTTTTATTGCTGGGGGAACGTAAACCAGCACACACGCTCCTGAAAAACACACACCTCAGTCTTATTTACCACAGTCTGCACTTTAGGGATAGTTTACACAAAAATCATTTACTCACCCTCATGTCATTCCAAACTTTCATATATAGAAAATGCACAAATGAGAAGTAAGGATTTATTTCGATCAGTTCCTCACACAAAGTTGTTGTATGGAACAGTTTTTGATACTTTATGGTGATTTTTGTCATTTTTTGAGTTGGACAGGCCCTGGTTGGCATTTTTGTTTGGAAAAGGGCTGCGACCTAACATCATTTTTTGTGGTTTAAGGAAGATAGAAGGTCAAAGAGGTTTGGAACCACAGGAGGATTGAAGTAATGGAGCGGAATTTTCATTCATATTGTGCGACATTAGTCATTTAATGCCTGTATTAATAACCATTTCAGAATAAAATTCATGGACCCTTAATGCATTACAGAATCTGAACTGGAGTTCTTCCAAGAAACAGCTTTAAGTTATTCAATATCCCAGCGGCACCTGACGCACTTTCCCTTCCAAGTTCAAACACACAATTACAGTGAGAAAATAGCGTTTGTGTAAATATATCAAAGGGGTCTGTTTCAGAGAGAACGCTTCTCACCTCTCTGCGACAGGCGTGAAAGCCGTCCCAGCAGGATTGGAGCGGGAGGCTGGAATCACCCACCTACTTCAATGAGAATTATTCTACCCTGCCATTACAGAGAGCTTATCGGCCAGCTAAATCACTACCTCTGCATGCTGGCAACTGCTATTTTCTCACAAAAGACCAACTTAGAGCTCATAGGACAGGTTACAGCCAGACACCGCCTGCCAATTTTCAACTGTTGTTCCCCGCCTAGCATGCCTCCCACATGTAACAAAGACTAGAGCTCTCCTGCCTGCAATTCAACCAGTAAACTCACAGAAAAACAACCTAATCAAATCAACACGGCACCTTCCGGCAGCGCACCATATCCCTCTCACTTTGCTGAATACAGCTACACCATTTCTCCTGCAAACATCATCGCCTCCAACACTACCCACGGGGCCGTGTTGTCATATTAATGCGTAACGTTTACTGTAACGCGATCTCTCTCATCAATAGGGATGCACTGATTTTTGGTCCAATATTTAGCTCATTTACTCTTGAAATGCTCCAGTAACAGAACAGATATCATTGAGCGTACATACAATATATTTAGCATAAACCCTGCCACACAAAGAAGCACCGGCAGCAGAACAAAATGTCTCAAGATTGGAGGAATTTCAAGACAAATGACATCTAATTAATCTGCAGTAGTCACGCCTGCATAGAACTCCTGTTGTGCAAGTAGACAACTGCGCAAGCGCAGAGGAACAGAGGAGCTTTCTTAGAATTATTTGACTTAAAGTGGACAAAATCATGCATGTTTTATTATTTATTATGTTTTTTTTTTTGCTGTTGTTAAACAGTCATGCTGTCCTTACATCCCACTGTATTTTACAGCATTACCAAATAGCAGCAGAGAGGACCACAACTAAAGTTTCTCTAACAAATGATGATCATGAATCCTTACTCACCAGTAAATCGGCATTAATCACATTTCTCTTTCATTCCCTGTATTAAAACGCCTCTCTCAGTCTCCGTTTTTCTTTCATCTGCCTCCCTTCCCTCATTTAGTTCTGCTCGCATTGCCAGACACCTGCTCCAGAAAGGGTTGTGTTGAGTGTTAAGTTGGCAGTAGGCTACTGTAGCTCTGTGGCAATGGGCATTTCGGTGGCATGGCTGTGTGTTGGGTCTATGTCAGCGGGCATTATGGTGGCAGGGCTGGCTCACAGCGGTGTGCACCAGGCAGTGATCCCAGCAGGAAGAGACGAGTACCAACACAGAGCATAGCTCTCACAAAGCCATGCCAGACGATAAAACTGAGGTTTGCTTACACCAGCCAGACTCTAATACAGTCTGAGACTTAGCATACTTAGTGTGCCATTTATCACAACACAGCAGCTTCAAAAACGGTTGTTAAACACAGTGTAAGAAATCATTTCAGGGTGAGAACAAAGACATTAACAGTGTTTACAAATCAGTGTACAGTGTCATATTGTGTCATCATAAAACAGTTAAAATGTTAATATAAATACATACTTTTTTGAAGAAAAGGTGGGCGGTGCTTCCAGTGTTACTGTTAACAAAAACTAAAAATTAGTCAAACATTTTTGTTAATGTAGTTAATAAAAACACAACCAGGAAAACTGACTCAAATTAACTAAACTAAAACAAAAATGATCACAAATGTTTTTAATATATGGTATATTCTAAAACTTGACACCCACTTTTAAAATTCAGTAACATTAAACATTTTTAGATGATATCAGATATATTTTTAGATAACATCAGTATATTTTAGTGCCAAAGTTAGTGCATTAACTTTGGCACTAAAATACTAAAACTAAAATAACTAAATAAAAAAGTACAAATAAAAGTAACAATTATAAAATTAAAGCTAAATAACTAAACTGTAAAGCCAAATTAAAAATAAAACAGAGTAAAAATTACATTAAAAAACTACAATAAAACAAAACCCTCTTTAAAATCCCTCCATCCCTCCATATCCCTAAATATGATCAATAATAATTTAAAGGGGTCATATGATGCGATTTCATTTTTTCCTTTGTCACTCTTAAAAAGACAGCACTCCAAAGTAGCAGACAGCAACATTTGCTAACACTGTAAGATCCATGCAATCCATACAAGCTCTGTGACTCATATTAGCCATGTTCTGCCGTTTCTAAAGGTGCCAGACTGCAGCAGAAACCATCTTACTGAGGGGACAACAGCCTGTGGCTCTACAGACTTCTGGCAAAACAGACCAGAGAGACAGACACTACACAAACCAACCCCCCTCCCTGTCTGCTCTTTGTCTAGAGAAGAGGCTCTCCAAGCAGGTTTAGTGGGCTTTGAATAACTGACCAGGGTAAATCCCCAAATGATCCAGTATGTAGGGAATCCAGGTCACCCTCGGTTACCCAAATCGCTTCTGAAGCAGCCCCAAGAATGTTTGCCTGTCACTCCTTCTTCAGGTTGGCCGCTTCGTCTCTGCCAGCACCCCTTCTCGGCCAAATTCTCGGTTTTACTGGCTTCAATGCCTAATTGTGAGCTTTTTGATTATGATGTTGCTAATAAAAGGTAGATGCCAGTAAAAGGTGGTTTGAACAAGGGAGTTGAGCTAAAATCAAGTAGAAACTTAACTGTTTAATCAAAGGCTTTGTTCC